GCACGCCCAGGCCGGGCCTGGTCGCGGCCGCGCTGCCGCATCCCGCCGTCCCCGGGCGCGTCGCTGCCACGGCCCTGTTCCTGCCGCCCGTCCTGTGCCATCTTGGGCGAGTCACTTCCCCTTCCAGGGCCGCCTCGGTTTTCTCATTCCGGGAAGGGCCTTAAAAGTTTCCCTCTTGGAGCCCTGGCCGGAGTGGCTCAGCCAGTTGGAGGATCGTCCCTTACACCACAAGGTGGCGGGTTCAATTCCCGGTCAGGGCACATACTCAGGTTGCCTGCACCTGCTGGAGGTTGCAACCGACCCAGGGATGTTTCTCTCTCCCTTTCTCTCTCTAAAATCAGTTCTAAAAAGTTACCCTCTTGGAGGCATGAATTAGTTGGTATGGGCCCTGGGTGGAGCTGCTGGACTAATAGACCAGGGCCACAAAGAGCCGACACCGAACCTGCCAACCAGTTGGTGGGTGAGGCAGTTCTAGAGAGTCAGGGGTGAGGTGGGCAGCGCCAGTGACCAGAGGATGCAGGGCCGGAGTGAAGGCGAGAGCTGGCCTGGTACTAGGAGGGTCAGCCCAGGCTGAAGGAAGGGTGAGTGGGGAGACTCCCGCTGGAGTCCATTTAGTGTCAGCCTGGGCCTGCAGGGTTGAGGGAACCCAGACTTCTGCTGGGGGCAGGGGTCAGCCGGGCCGGGGCTGAGGAGGTAGGCAAGTTCTTTTTTCTGCATTTATCCACACGTGCACACACCTTTGACCCCATGGACCACCACTTTCTTCTACCTCCATCTCCCCCATCCCCACTTGGGGTCTCCTCCATGTGTCCTCTCTAGATTGGAAGTCTGAGTCACTGGCCAGGAATGTGCTGTAGAGGGAAGGGGACACCAGCCAAGGCACTGGAGGCATATGGTACCCCAGGCTCCCTGCCATGAGGGCTGGGGGTACTGAGTGGGCATTTAGATTTAGGGCGGGGTGAATGAATGAATGAGGCAGTGCCTTTGCAGGGTGGGGAGCTGGGGTCTTGCAGCAGGGATTTGGACCTTGCCACAAATGGCTTGTATGCTGAGGGCAGGATGGGGGCACAGGTAGGACCTTGGCAGAGGCTCAAGGGGTACCCGCCCACCAGTGGTGCAGCCGTATCCTGGAATGCGGGGCGAAGGCATTTGAGCCAAGCTGACCACACAGCTGGGTGCTGGAGACGTCACCTGGAACAAGCCAGTTCCATCCCGACCCCCCAGGGCTCAGAATCCAGTAAGAGACAGGTCTTACGCCAACAGCCATCCTAACAGTGATTTCTCACAACGCTTCTGTCATAAGGGGCTTTTATTAGCCCTACTTTATGGTGAGGAAATTGAGGCACAGAGTGGCAAAGTGAGTTGTCCAGGGTCACACAGCTGGTGAGAGTTGGCTCTGTTGCTCCCCAGAGGTTTCCATGGGCAGTTGAGGGCCATAGAGGGTGATAGAGCAGGAACGTTCCTCTCCCAGACCAGCCTCACCCTCAATATTCCCAGGGAGGCTACTTCCCTGAGAATGTCAAGGCCATGACCAGTCTGCGATGGCTGAAGCTGAACCGCACCGGCCTCTGCTACCTGCCAGAGGAGTTGGCTGCCCTGCAGAAGCTGGTAAGGGGCTTTCATCTAGCAGGGTGGGTATCAGTGGGTGGGGCTGGAGTGGGTGGACAGGGCCTGTGCAGAAGGCAGATGACAGAGAAAGATGTTGATAGCTGTGGCAGAGCTGGCAGAGAGGGAGGAAGTACCCTATTGCATGACGCGTGCAAGACGCTGGGTCTGGGAGGGAGGGTTGCTCTAGAGGTGGACTGTGCCTGTGTGGCCAAGGGACCCCTGAATGGTATAGAGCTGTGGTGGCAGATGGAGGCTCCATAGACACCCTACCCACCCCACTGAGCCTCTGCTCCTTTGTCCTGGCCCAGGAGCACTTGTCTGTGAGCCACAACAACCTGACCACGCTTCATGGGGAGCTGTCTAGCCTGCCATCTCTTCGGGTAAGTGTTGCTAGAGGCCACCAAGCTTGTGGGTGGGGACGGGTCTAGCCAGGGGCGTGAGGGCAGGGCCAGACCCCAAGCTGGTCCATCACCTCTGCCCATCCCTGTGTCAGGCTCAGGCGCTCATTCCTAAGGAAAGGGCATAATAATGTCCAG